GATTGAGCGTGAAACTGATTCGACTCAATCCGGCCACAGCTCATCCCCTGCTCAGGGAGATGTCACCCCTTGCTGGGACCATAACATTTTAATTTTAATGGAAGTTGTCAGCTAATTTTCCACTAGTTAATGTCATAATGAACTTGCACTATTAACAGAAGTTAGGGACAAGAATTGCTTCACAGACAGTTTGTACCAATTATTTATGGCATGGCTGCATGAGTTGCTATATTTGTGGGTGGCTCTGGCCATCCCTGTCATGCTTTCATTTGTATCTTTAGAAATCTGCACTTCTGCATTTTAACAATGAAGAAATAGTTTATTTAAGGAGCTTTAGAGCAGCAGCATTTACAATACTATATTAGATTTAACATAGCATTCGTGCTACATACAGATCTCACAGAGCTCCATACTGAAGGAAATAAAACATTGACCATAGGTGTGCTACTTTGAAACGTTTGCTGAAAATTACATCAGGGCTACAGTACCTGGTTAATGTACCAATTATTTGCAGTGACAGGTCTGTGGGCTTTATCAAAGTTTATAACCGAGAACAACAATGTCATATATTGCTGCTAATCGGGCCTACCATGTGGTGGCTGCATTAGTTTTCTTTTTTTAGGCTTTTTCTTACCTTTATTTTCACCCGGTGATCATCCAAGAAATACACTTCCGGCCATAGGATGACAACACTTAAGTCAGGTACACACAATTCAAATTTTGTGCCGTGGGTGCCGCTGTCAGCACCCTTCCGCCCATTACCCCTCAATCAGCTGATAAAAGGAGCCAGTTGGAAAATACTTGGCTGAGCAGAGCTAGCAGCCAATTAGTTTCTAGCTCCATTCGGGTATTCTGACAGTGGCTGGCGCCTGCTGTCAGAATACAATGCAAAGAGCACTCATAAGCGTTGATGGAAGAATCTGTTTGATTTTGTTTAGGCCATGAGAAGCAGTGTTGTCACCCTAGGACAGGAAGTTGAGACTACAGGACTCCTCTGCCTCACCTCTACTCCAAAACACAGATAACAAAACACTTTAAATGGCATAGCTGAACTAATGCCAAATATTACCTTTTGCTAAGTAGCAGTGACATCATATCTGCGATGCACATAGCCTGCGCATGAGCAGAGCTGTGGAAGGGACCCAGCAGGCCCCACCCACTACAGGCGAATACAAGACCAGTCACCCTGCACAAGGAATGAGAGCAGCCATGACCCGTCTTTATTACAGGAGGGGGCAGAGACAAGACCAGTCACCCTGCAAAAGGAGAGAGCGCAGCAGTGACTGGTCTTTATTGCAGGAGGGGGCAGAGGCAAGACCAGTCACCCTGCATGAGGAGAGAGAGCAGCAGTAACCGGTCTTTATTACAAGAGGGGGTGGAGACAAGACCAGTCTTCCTGCACAAGTAGAGAGAGCAGCAGTGACCAGTCGTTATTACAGGAGGGTCGGAGACAAGACCAGTCACCCTAGAGAGAGCAGCAGTGAGCGGTCTTTATTACAGGAAGCTCCAAGAGTCAGGTTGGATTACTGCACAGATCTGGTAGAAATACACCAAGCCCACTAAGATTCAAGAAGAATACACATGACTCAGGTATTTAGATAATATTTGCTTATCATGGAGTTCAAGCCAAAAGGGAGCAATTAAGAGAAGTTCATCATTAGAGCTTAGATACACATTATACTAGCCACATATGAGAAGTGGCAGTTGAATTAAGGTAAACGTCTAATCTTCAAACTATTAGTTTTTTGTCAATTGATCAATGCATGCTTGTATTGTCTAGGCATGTATGCTTAGGGCCAGCTCATACTACAAATGATACATGGTTGCCTTCAAGATGGATCTCATGCCAATATCCTATATTTCCTGGGGCAATCCAGTGAGTAGGTATCTCTGCAGGAATTTTCATCTTCCTAAGCTGCTGCATCTGTTATAAAGCCAAGTGATGACATCACAGTGCCCTAGTGTATTCTCCATAATGGGCAATACACACATAATTAGGGAGTCCAGCTGTGAGATGTTAACACCTTCATTATGGTTTTGTTTGAGGAAATGGAGATACAAGTAACTACAAGAAACCGCTCTGTTGGCATCTTTGAGGAATACACTGTAAGTGTATGTATTGCTTTTGGGAGGTGTTGGTCTTTATTATAATGGTGGAGAGATAGTAGATGTTCCTGGTGCTGGTGATATATTGGGGGAACCAGCAGAACTTGATGAATAAAATGCAGCTTGGTTACCCCAACATTGGATGGGCAAGAATATAGGCTAATACTCCTAGATTGTCTCCCGATCTAATCCCAGGAGACCCAAACAGTGTACATGGACTCAATAATCAATACATAGTTGGAAGTTATTAAAGTGAGTTTGCAGATGTTTGATGTTTTTTAGGCCCTGAAGAGGAGAATGGAGTTACAGACCCTGAAATGCATTGATGCTGCATACAATCTTTTATTGGATTAAACTTGTTTATGGATTTGAATATTACCGAGTGGTGCTTCAGTTGTGAATTAATTAATCCCTATCACACCCCAAGCTGACCATGGAAGCCCTTCGATGAGTGGAAGCTACAGCCTAATATTTACTGTAGATTCTCTATATTGTTCCACACTATTGGACCACAACAATAATGTAAAATAAACATATAAAGAAACCTCAGAGTTCCAGTGGCTCTTATTCACTTTCCCAAGCCAACATTCTCTGTTGTCTATGGCCAGCTTTACACAGACAACATTTACAGTACTTCTGTTTGCTCAGGACTTTCTGATAGGATTTTCCTGCAAATATTTATTTAGCCTGAAAGAAGGAAAGAAGCCACTTTAGCAGCTTAGGCTCCTTGAAACGGCCTCTCTGTTATGACAGTATTGTGATGTAGAAGAAGTCAATATTTGCCAGAAAGCTTAGCTGGGTATTTAGGGTATGAGTGTGTAGAGAGGTAAGAAGAAAGGGTTTTCTTTATTAAACCGGGGTATTTAAAGACATAGAATAGGGAGGACTTTTTAGGTACATAAGCAAGAAATTATGTGATTTACAAAAGTATTTTTTTTAAATTAATACTATTATTATTAGTTGTAGTATATTATTTGTATTATTATTATTATTTTATTAGTAGTAGTATTATTATTTTTCAGGATTTATATAGCGCCAACAGTTTGCACAGTTTAACACTGTAAGGAAGAAATTACAGTTTCAATACAAATCAAGACAAGATGGTACGGAGGGCCCTGCCCATGAGAGCTTACAATCTAAAAGTATCAAACCTATTAATAAATGGTTAAAACCAATAAATAAATCCTTATCTTAACAATCTAATTGTAACCATCCAGTGATTGAATATCCTCAGTCAGGGCCTGTTATGTCTCTATGTATACTTGATACATTTACCATAATAAGCAAGATCATAATATTGTCACAGAATCATGTATTTTACTAAATAGGTGGAGAACTGGAGATTGTTTTAAACTGTGGTAAAATGATACAATGCTGCAACCAAGAGCAGTCAAAAAGCTTCACACCATTTCACTAACAGGAAAGGAAACAACCTTAACCAGAAGTGTATACACCACTGTAACGTATTGGATTCCAGAACTTTTGTGATCTTTTGTGTGGATTAAATAAACAGTTATGTACAGCCAAGACCTTTTATTTAAATCTTGGATAGAGTAGGGAAGGGTTAACCCTGTCAGTTAATTTTTTCAGTCTTTTTCCAGTTAGGGAACTTTCTCTTCAAATGCACACAACAGTTTTCTAGCAATATTAGACACTTTCCGCCAGCAAGTTATCACAAAAATAATCAACTAAGGCAATAACTAACTAATAAACAACTAATCAATTAAGGCAACCAACACTGTGCCATAAAATGATTATAAACTATTGGCTGTAGGTTACAGTTTTGTAAAGGATAGTTGAAAGTGACTGAAACTTCCCTGCATATGCCATTGCCAACATTATTTTAAAGGCTGTAAGTTGCTTAACTAACTAGAGGCTCAGTTCACAAAGCTAACACACCAGGATAAGGATCCTTATTTTCCAAAAAGTTATTTTCAGCTTTAATGAGATTTGAACATTGCAGTCACATGGCTAAAATACTTTTGCATTTTTATATTTAATAAGCAAATATATGTTCATGTTGTTGTGTAGGCACAAACAAATAAACAAACAAATTTAAAGTGAACTAGATTTATTTTTGCAACACTTTAGGATGAATCCACTGGCTAGTTATAATTAATCAGGAAATGCTTCCCACTAACTTCTGTAGCAGCAGAGTTTTTTGGTAATTGGTCAACGTAGTTAGCAAGGTGTGTGCTGGGTGAACGGTCTTCTCAATGCCCCCTCCATGTCACCTAGGGTGCCCTCTAGACTCATCCTCCCTAAACTGTTGGAAGCTGAGGATTGATGCACCAGATTAAGGAAGGCACTTCTATGGTTAAAAGAGGAGTGCATAAACAACAACAAAAAACAACAACTATAAGGTGCTGCACTGGGGTGGGGGACGTTTTCAGCAAAAAAATCGATTTGCCCAGAGATAGGCTTTAAGTGTGTGTATTTTTAAATGATAAATAAAATCCCATTTACAAGCACACCAAAGTTGTCGCATTGTTCTATTTCCAGTATGTGTTCAAAAATAAAAAAATAAAATAACACTTAGACTAAAAAATAATTGCACTTATTTAGACAAAATAACCAAGTGTCCATACGCTGCACATTTTTCATTACCTGTGAACATTCTGAATTTTATTATATATCTCTGGATAAATCTCCAACCTTTTTCTAAATGCAAAATGATGACGAAAGACATTTCTGCAAAAAATTATATTTATTGTACATTAGGCATAAGATACACAGTATTTATAAATAAAGGCCTATGTAATCTACACAATTAGACAAACAAATGGGATTCTATGTCTGGCATATACCAAATAATTTATATTCTTATAAAGAACACATTCTTCTTTCTCCTAGGGAGCTATATATATATATAATAGTCTTTGTAGTTGGGCTTCTCACCAGGGTCTCCACACACTCTGAGCTGGACCTCTGTTGCTGTCAGTAGCCGATACAATGGGACTAAGACTTGGTGATACAGACTGGGTAGGACCACCGGTTGCTTGGCATGGTGATGGATGGAGGGGCACTGATTTGAGCTTGATGGGTAGATTCACAGTGCCAGGTTGGCTCAGGTTAGCAGAGAGCAGGTGATCCCTGGTGATGATGGTTGGAGATGATGTACTGCAAATGATGCTGTCCTTGGTCCTGAACCCAGTTATATTAGCAGGAGGCAGAAGTGTACATACATCCTGGACCAGACCCAGGGGACCAGGAGGAACAAAGTCCTCTGACTTCATCAGAAACTGGTTGACACTGTTCAGACAATTCCTAAATCCAGCCTGGTACTCAGCACTTCTGATGATGGGACCAGCTGCTAAAGAGAAAAAGGCATGGTTAGGATAATGAGATTGATACTCAACAGATATACAAAATTAGAAATGTGGTTCTTATTGTGGCTAGAATAGGTAAAAATTAGAACCGCTGCCAGTTTTATATTACTCTCTGGATCCCTGCTGGAAAAATTCACCCTCTCTATCTTTACTGGTGTCACCAGTACTGAAACTAAAGAAGAACCTCAAATTATCTGTTCTCACTGGAACGAGGATAGAGGGGAAATGTTCCAAAAGGGACACATGTTCCAGTGACAACTAAGAAAGGATTTCCCTTACTTTGTAGAGATATCTTATTATTTCCTGTCATGTCTCCAAGACAGGAATTGAAGGAAAATCTCTCCTGTGGTACACAGACCACAAAAAGAACTTGACCAGTGTTTTAACCATTCCCTACCTTATCCAAAGCTTAAAAAAAAAGGTTTGGCTTTACATAAACTTGAAGAAAAACCTTTGAGATAAATAGTTGGTCTGCAACTACCACGCTCCTTCTAAAAACCTAGCTGCCTGGCTGTCTCCGCTTCAATACTTTCTCACAACCTCAGAGCGAGTAAGTAACATCAGACTGATGTCAATATCAGATATGAAATGTTTTTTCATGTCTATATTTCAACATTAAATTCACTGAAGCAGAGTAAAAGTCAGGCAGCAATAATTCCAGAAGGCGAGGCAGTAATGGTACTCTCCGTATTTCTCTCAGCATTTGACAAAATAAGAGAGAGATAAGAGAACAGGATGATAGGAAAGGAAAAGAAAAGCAGATAGGATTGAGAGAAAGAAAGACAGACACAGAGACAGCAGAGAGTAAGGAAGAAAAGGAAAAAAGAAAGAGTAAATGTTAGTTTTAAGAATGGAAGAAATGTATGTTTAATGGAACAAATAGTCAAATATCATAAAGGAGAGATCAAGAGAGAGGAGGAGGTAGAGTTCTGGTCGGAATTTTTGTGTCAATGTTGTTTTCCCATAGTGTGTAATGGTAACTAATGAAGCACATGTATATCTTATATCTGAATGTAATGTCTCCATAAATGAAATCCCAGAACATTATTCACCTTGTACAGAACTTTGAAGGGTCTTCAGATACTTCACTGTTAGTTCCAGTATGTCTGCTTTCTCCAGTTTGCGTTTTCTGATCTGGGAAAGGAATAAACATCATTATTACACTACTGTCCCCCATTCAGTGATACTTGTGTAAGACTGTCAGGATGTGCTTATCCTATACTTACATTCTGGGAATAATTCCTCTCCAGAAGAGACTTGAGCTGTTCCAGGGATACGTTGATTCTGGCTCGTCTTTTCTTTTCCATTAATGGTTTAGAAACCTGTAGAGACAATTATAAATTAACTTTGTGTTACCCTGTGTCACACTAACACAGAGCTTATGGCATTGCATGGGAAGATACCATCAAACCAAAGTACTGACCTTTCTGAAGCTGCTGGGCTGCCTGGACTCTGTGTGGGTCACCATAGTGGAGGAGCAGGAGACTAGTACTACAACAGGCAGAAGAGTTAGTAGCTGTAGTACTGCCACTGAAGGAATGCCCATATATACCATCCCTCTATTTACATGTCAATAGGACACTTGACCTGTGGCCTCTGGCTCTGAAAAGACAAAGAGTCACTCCAATGTCCAGTCAACCATGAAGTCTTTTATAACCCAGTGACTGAACTGAGCACTGCTGGGCTTATTGAGCCTTCACATATAGAGAGATTCAGCCTTGCATAGACAGAAGGACACATAAGAGGTGTAAGGCTGATAGATGATTTGTGTAACCTAGAAGAGGGAGAATACAAGAGGAAAATAATGATGGGAGAAATGACAGAGAGAAAGAGAGAGAGACGAAGGAAGATAATAGAAAAAAAATGGGGAGTAGATGGAGAAGAGAACAAAATGGAGAGAGAGAGAGAGAGAGAGAGAGAGAGAGAGAGAGAGAGAGAGAGAGAGAGAGGGAGAGAGGGGGGGGGGGGGGGGGG